TTTTTTTTTTTTTTTTTTTTTTTTTTTTTTTGGTTTTTCGAGACAGGGTTTCTCTGTGGTTTTGGAGCCTATCCTGGAACTAGCTCTTGTAGACCAGGCTGGTCTCGAACTCACAGCAATCCGCCTGTCTCTGCCTCCCAAGTGCTGGGATTAAAGGTTTGTGCCACCACCACCTGGCTCCTTCCTCTTTTTCATATAGGGAATTAATCTCAAGGTCTCACACATGCTTAAGCAAGCAATCTATCTAGGAGCCATTCCCCATCCCCTCACTGGGGGATTCTAGGCAGGGGCTCTACCCCTGAGCCACACCCCAGCCCCTCACTGGGGGATTCTAGGCAGGGGCTCTAGCTATGCTACAGCTCTTTTTACTTGAGATCTGGTCTCACTTATTTCCTTAGATGGGCCTTGAACTCACTCTTTAGCACAGGTAAGCTTTGAACGAGTGATCCTCCTGGCTCAGCCTCTTAGGTATGTGGTATTAGAGTAACCTGCCCCCAGGTCTGGTTTCAGGGCCATCTTCCGCTGTCACACTGGCCAGAGGGTCTACTGTGGTGCTCAGTGGGTAGAAGCTGGAGTCTGCCTAGGCTAAGGATTATCACAGTAGGAACTGTCCCAGCCCACTTGGCAACAGGGCTGTTGATGAAGAAACTAAACCATATGTACAGTGCCTACATTTCCAGCGACCACAGGGTCTAGCAGGTAGAAACAAGCATTCTAGAACCACCTTCCAGGTCTTGAAATCAGCTCCACATCCACCTAACACAGGCAATCAACTTTGGTAAGTCTGGTCATCTTCCTGGACTCAGTTATGTCCCATGGAAAAAGGGACAATTAGGGTACCTTCCTAATAATCTTGTAAGCACAAATTGCTCAGAAGCTGGGTGTGGAGGACACTGCAATCCCTGACCTTGGGGGCCAAAAGCAAGACTCCTCTCAATAATCCAGGGGCTCAACTAGACCTGTGGCTCTCACTTTAATCTCAGCACTTGGAATGGAGAGGCAGGTGAGTGCCATGCCTGGCAAAGCTACACAGCAAGGGCATCTCTCAAAACAAAATAAAATCTGAGGGCTGCGTATGTAGCTTGGTGCTTGGTACGCAGGGCTGTTAAGTCTGAAAACTGAGTAGGAATTTAAAGCAAGTTTCATGTGCTACCCCTCAGTGTTGGGAGCCCTTTGTGGGCAGAAGCAAGTCTAAAGTATGCTTAGGTCTCTGCTTTCCTTAGACCAATGAGATGTGTTGTTGACTAACTCATTGATGGAGCAAGAGCAAGGCTTCCTAAGGCTCCATGCTTCCCTGGGAAGACAGACAAGAGCTCAGAGGCAGGCGGACCAGGCAGGACCACAGATTTATTGGGGGCTGCACACACACACACACTCACAGCATCACACAACGATGGCACAGTTACTCAGGACATCAAGGTGGCCTTCTGCCATCAAAGTAGGGCCCAGAGGCAGTGGGTTGCAGCCTCCTCCCATGCGGCCTAACCCTGCTGGGTCCTTCCTCTGGGGCAGCTGAGGAAGGGAAGGGGCTGCTGGGGTGGGCCTTGGGCCTGGCAGGGGGTGAGCAGGCAGGTTGGCCCAGCAGGCCGGGCTGGGCAGAGGCCACCTCACTCCAGGGACTGCAGCATCAGCAGCTGCTTCAGCACCTTCGTCTGGCTGGTCTCTCGGATTTCACCTGCCAGGAACATCTCGTCTACCACCGTGTAAACCTGGGCAAGAAAGGGAGGCCGGGAAAGCTGGAGTGAGGGAATGAAGGGCTTCTTCAGAAGCCAGCCCTTGGGAGCCAAGCATCGATCCTGAGCAGGAAAGTAGCAACAGGGGGCCAGGCAGATCTCTAGTGGCTATAGCCACACCCTCCACCCCATGGCTGCTTCCTGCCCATTTCCCCGAGAGCCTACCTTGTAGAAGTTGAACACCAGGTCCAGTTCACAGACATTGTGGAAATAT